TTTAATATTCATTTTAAATATATACAAATTACTAGGATATTAGTAGCGAAAGTATATAAAACTTCTTATATTTATAATAGCTTGACTACCAGCAGCTCTAGATCATAGGTTTTCAGACTTTCTTCACGGTAAGTACAGAATCAAGGCTGTATTAGAGTATTGCAGAACAGGATACAGATTCAAGAGAAACAAATAGAACTGGACAAATATTTTATAGACTGTTTTCTACTTTTAACATGACAAGGTTCATAACAAATAAGATACAATATAATAGCATTTAGAAGGATACAATATACAAAAATACAAAGGTAAAGGTTTCCCCTGACATTAAGTCTAGTTGTGTCTAACTCTGGGGAGTGGTGCTCATCTCCATTTCTAAGCCAAAGAGCCAGCGTTGTCCGTAGACACCTCCTAGGTCATGTGGCCAGCATGACTGCATGGAGTGCCATTACCTTCCTGAAGAAGCAGTACCTATTGATCTACTCATATTTGCATGTTTTCGAACTGCTAAGTTAGCAGAAGCTGGGGCTAACAGTGGGAGCTCACCCCGCTCCCTGGATTTGAACTGTCAACCTTTCGGTCAGCATGTTCAGCAGCTCAGTGGTTTAACCCACTGTGCCACCAGGGGACCCAAGGACAAACTCCATAAAACTATTAAAAACTAGGGATTACCAATCAAGAAAATGCCTAGGAGCTTCATAAAGATATTTCCAAAATATGACCCTGTTCAGCCAAAAATATAACCCTGTTCAATCAAATCCATCTTGCTATTTTCATCTAACTCTATTTAAACAATATCTTTTTTAGTTTTTTAGACTGCAGTTAAAAGGATATAATTAACATTTGCTTAGATCACAGCCCTGGCAGGGAGTGCTATATGAAGTTTCAGAATAAATCAAAATCACTTAAGCTATACTGTCATCATCAACATGGCATGAAGTACAGCCATAGATCACACACTAGTGTAGCCTGTGAGGTTGCCGAACCAGTTTTAATGCTTGGCAGTTATATGCAAACAGTTTTTGTGGTCCAAGAAATTTATTCAAATGATCAGAACTGTAGTTCCCTATAGTTTTAACTACACTTTGAATAGAGTACTTTATAAGGTGTGTCACAATATGTTATTTTTTTCAAGAGATGGGAAAACAAGATCTGATTTTATAGAGGTTGGGTAAAGCTATCCAGATAATGTTTCACTCACAGAAGCAAAACCATTTAATCTAAATCAAGCTGTAACACAGACAGGGGAACAAGAAAAAAAATACCACAACACTAAACATCAGATAAAATAGAATATAAAACCAATGCATATTAAAATCCATCAATACATATTTTTAAAATATAATATAAAATTTACAAATGTGGGTAGGCCTGCTAGAAGAGACTGGTATTTACAGCCCATTTAAATAAAGACTGCATCTGGAGCTGATGGATACCTTCTAACCGGTCACTTCAACTTCTTGGGGTGGCTAAAAATTTCATCTGAGTAACAAGCAACCCAGTCTGGGCTGAGTGAAGTAGGAGGATCTGAGTGTACGGTGCAGATTACATAGGAGAAACCAATCCTGTAGGTAACCTGTACCCAAACCATGTAGTACTTTAAAGATAATAACCAGCCCTCTGCCCAGAAACTAACTAGCAACTAGCGGAGTGATTATAATACTGGAGTTACATGGTCATTCCTTCATGTTCCATGGCTGATATGTTTTGAACTAACTGAGGTTTCTGAACTTGGCACAGGGGTAGACCAATGTGCAGCACATTGCAGAACCCCAGCTTTGAAGTTACTAGTGTAAACACTACCGTCTGTAAGTCCTCCTATTCTAGGAAGATGTGGAGATGGCACAATAGTGGAAGTGTATAACAAATACTACGTAGTAAGTGTATTAGTAAACATGCGGCATAAATGGATCTTGACTTGCTACAAAACAGTCTTCATGCAAAGTTGCACAGCTGTCAGTGTTGAATACATTGTAACCCTGCTAGCAAAACGAAGCTACAGTTGCTGGTATGCTAAGAAACACTCTTTCTCATGGTGTGCCTTTACAGTCCTCTGAGAAAGGGGCACCCCTATATTTCTGTCCCTCAAATTGCCTTGCATTGCTTCAGTTTATATTAACTGCAAATGTATGTGACAGTTTGGGCAGTATGCTTTCTGATGACCTGGAGTTGTAAATGTAGCTTTCAAATACAGGCATAATGTAATTAATTAAGGCACACACCTATAAGCTCTCTTTAGTATGCACCCCGCTGTGTACATTTCATGATCTTGGGGCTATGGTTCTGGCATACACATTGTCTTTTAACATTACAGACTACTGAAAGTATACAGTGCACATTGGCTGAAATTTCCTTAGCATAATACGCTGAAGCCTATTGGTTAATCGTAACTAGAATACAGCCATGGCACATGTTGAAAATCAATGATGTGGATTCACTAGAAAAAGCTAAACTGAACATGGGTTGTTGTAGGTTTTTCGGGCTGTATGGTCATGTTCTAGAAGTATTCTCTCTTGACGTTTCACCTGCATCTATGGCAGGCATCCTCAGATGCAAGCAAAACATCAGAAGAGAATAGAACATGGTCATACAGCCCAAAAAACCTACAACAACCCAGTGACTCCGGCCATGAAAGCCTTCGACAATACATTAAAGTGAACATATTTCTCAAAATAAATCCCAGTGTTCTGACTAATATTACATGATTTGGCATGCTTGATTTAAATATTAAATTTATTTTTATGTGAAAATTATTTTGCTGAGATATCTGTAATAATGTAAATCAAATAACTACACCTCAAAGCATACGATGGTTAAGGACACATATCTAAATAGGGTTGTTCCTGAGACATCTTATGAAATCAGATTAATCTTCTTTTGCTGCGATATAACTGTAGTATCTTCAGCTTGATTGACTTACACTCTGCAATGCCTATCAGTTCAATTTCATGATGAAAAACCTAATTCAGTACAAACCATTTCAACACTTTATTTCACTAAAAGATGCATGTGGATCTCATACAGTCCCAACCTCAAGCCACCTACACTGTGCAAAGAAGTGATTGCCTTGTCAAGAAGTGCATCGGAAACCTATGGCCTGGAGGGAATGCATTCTATGACTGTTAAGTATTTGAACCAGAATATGTTAGCAGAAATTTCTTTGGCCCCTTCCACACAGGTGAATAAAATCCAACATTATCTGCTTTGAACTGGGATATATGGCAGTGTGGACTCAGATATCCCAATTCAAAGCAGATATTGTGGAATTTTCTGCCTTGACATTCTGGGTTATATGACTGTGCGGAAGGGCCCCCAGTGTTCACTATTTTCTGTACTGCTCAATATGAAGGTATTCTATAAAATAATAAAATGATATGAAACTGAACTTTCACCACAAGAGATTTCTAGCTGGGGAATAGATGTGGGTAATTTACATTTTACAGACAGAGTCACACTGATTATCTACCATAACTACAGTAGAGTCTCGCTTATCCAACCTTCGCTAATCCGATGTTCTGTATTATCCAATGCAGTCTGCCTCCTGACCGGATCCACAGCTGATTCAATACAGTGCAATGTTTTGGTGCTAATTTGTAAATACAGTAATTACTACATAACGTTGCTGTGTATTGAACTGCTTTTTCTGTGTATTTGTTGTAAAACATGATGTTTCGGTGCTTAATTTCTAAAATCGTAACATAATTTGACATTTAACAGGCTTTTCCTTAATCTCTCCTTATTATCCAACATTTTTGCTTATCCAACGTTCTGCCAGCCCGTTTATGTTAGATAAGCAAGACTCTACTGCAGTGGTTCTCAACCTGTGGTCCCCAGATGTTTTGGCCTTCAACTCCCAGAAATCTTAACAGCTGGTAAACTGGCTCTACTGTATTGTTGTTGTGCGCCTTCAAATTATGGCAACCCCAAGGTGAACCTATCATGGGCTTTTCTTTGCAAGATTTGTTCAGAGGGTGATTGCCTTGGCCTTTTTTCTGAGACTCAGAAATGTGATTTGTTTAAGGTTACCCACTGGGTTACCATGGCCAAGCATTGCTTGAATTCTGGTCTCCAGTGTGGCAGTCCAATGCTCAAAACATGTTGATTCTCAACTATTGAAGCTAAATGTACACCCATACAGATGTTACATATCTGTCGAATCTACTATATCCAATTAAACGTAATATTTTGATGTTATTAATCTGTTAAATATTTTTCCTATACTGTTCTTAGCAGTCCATTCTCCAAATTTTAACCTTCTCCTTTAGGTTTTGTAAATACTAGTGAGCACAGATCTTTTCAGTTATTTGAAAAAACATAATATTAATATGTTCTTTATATGACTGGCAAAACCCCAAAAGGAGCTATAATAATTCCTTCATTCTTTCCCCTACTCTTGCATCCTTGGTCCCCAACCCATTCTATCCTGGTCCTTAAATAAGTGTCCTGCTCCTATAAAGATTGGGTCTCTTTGACAAGAGGAGGGATGTAATCTGACAAGTAATACCACTTAATTCCAATTTGCAAAATACTATTTAATAATAGCAATTAAATGTTACTCTGATAATTATTGTGATTAATTCATTTTATAATATGCTGTCTTTTTATTTAATAATAAATAAACAAACTAACTTATGATCTACACCGAGAACTTACTCTGAGCAAACACGCTTGTAACTAAAGTGTAACCAAAGTGTACTGGACTGAACAAAACCTATTACTTGATAAGGCTGTGGAAACACATGGTTATTTTGTCTGAGACTTTTTCTTGGCATTGTTAGACTCAGAAACTAAGCTGTGCCTTAAGATATTTAGTTATGTGATTGTGATAAAAAAAAACAATTAAGAGTCACTGTAACATTCCAATACTGCCAGTATCCTTCAGGAACAAAAACAATGCTTCTCAAGGGTTTTTCGTAACATAGCAATCAATAGAACGTTCTTGCCAGATCCTGTGAACACAAACGTGGCAGGACTTTAAATTAGATTAGATTGGTACTTACTCAGGTGCTTCAGGAAATTTCTCTTTTCCTTTGTGTAAATTCTGTAATCCAGAATTGGGTCGTTTAACAAAGTTAATGTCTTCACTTTCGTCTGAATGTCCTTGTTTACTTTGAGAAGTTGAAATGACAAATATTTCTGGCTCAATGTGTCCACTTTCCTGATGGCTCGATAAACTTGCAAAGTCTTTTTCAGCTCTGTCATGTTCATTTCCAGAAGCAAGTTGCTCAGTTTCTTTGAGAGATGATTTTGATGAAATACCAAATAAACTCCCAAGATACTGGAAAAATCCTTCTTTGACCTGTCTCTCATTATGGGTAGTTTTGGATTCATGAGCTAAACTAGGAAGGCTATTGGCTTTCTTTATTTCCTCCTGAGTGGTGGATCTGCTCAGATCTTCTGTAGACAGATTCTTATTTTCACAGACTGCAAACTGTGGGGAAAGGAACAGAGGATTTTTATTAATAACTATAATAATATCTTGCTTTTTCTCCAAGAAGTTCAAGACTAGATTTTATTTGTGTTACGCTTCCATTAACTCTGCAAGATAAATTGAGCTCAGAGGTCTCGGACAGATCAGACTAGTTCAAAATCAGCAAGTGAACTTCATGGCTGACATTTATCACTCAATCTAACTCCCAATGCACCACCCTTTAAAACAAACTGATAGGGCAAATGAATGCATTCAATTCCACTAAAGTGGGCCCTTGGTATCATTTGGGGGTTAGTTCCAGGATCTCCCCCCGCATATGCTCTAGTCCCATTACATCTGTGATTTTAACTTTTGTGGATTAGATTATTCATTGATTTGACTGAAAATGTTTTTTCTAGGAATCTATAGATCCTCAAGTACATCTCTATGGTGAACACCCTTTAATCACTCTAGAGTGAACACCTTTCTTGGAGTCTCTAGGTCTGTGGTTCTCAACCTGGGGGTCCCCAGATGTTTTGGCCTTCAACTCCCAGAAATCTTAACAGCTGGTAAACTGGCTGGGATTTCTGGGAGTTGTAGGCCAAAACACCTGGGGACCCACAGGTTGAGAATCACTGCTCTAGGGCCTCCCTTACAATTTTATGGCCAGTATCTCTAAGTCTCCTTCCCGAGGTGGCCCGAGAGAACACCATGGTTGATCATATTCAACACTGCTAGAACGTCCAGCAGAATAAACAGGGAAATACTCCCCTCTGCCCATTTCCCTGCATAGGTCATTTCCCAAGTTATCTCCATCCATTGGTCAGGACTGAAACAAGATGGAAATGTATCTAGACAATCTATGTTATCAACAAATCTTGCCATTACTTGAATCTTGAATCTTGCCATTACTTGAGGTACACTGCTTTGAGTTCCCCTGGGGGTGAGAAAAGTGGTATATAAATGCAGTAAATAAATAAATAAATACTTTTCCCAACATGATAGCTTATACACTCGAGCTACAAAGTCTACAAATGGAGCTAAAAGGTCTTGGACTGCATGGACCACCTGAACTTTATGAAACATCTTTGGTTTATTCCAGTTCATCAGAGGCAGTCAAAAAAATAAAAATAAAAGAAGCCATCAGCAGTACAACAGGAAAAATATATAGTTTCTCCTCTAGAGCTCCATTTAGCCAACATAAACTGCTCGTTCCCATGGAAAGAACTGAGGCAAGAAATATTGCATGTAAAGGCAATACCGTTACAGAACTTTAACAAATAATTTTGAAGGAGCTTCTCATCTAAAAGAAATTACTTCATTGGGTCCTGTGTCAGATAAATGACAGCAACAACACTAATAATAAATCACTGTAAAATAAAATATTCAATAATCAATTGCCCTCACAGTTTTAAATTGGGAGGGGGCAATTGGGGGGGGGGTTGGACTGTTCCCCCCCCCCAAGGCTTTCACGTCTTTTAGAATGAAGCAACATGTTAGTGATGCGCCATCTCACAACAATGCTTTTTTTTGTACTGGTACCATGAGGCAACTCAGGAATTTATGGGCGATAACTAAATGTACCAGTGTGATTAGTCCAGAGACAATGAAAAAATAGTGTCAAGCAAAATTGTAACGCAGTAGAGAAATGGATTATGAGATGAGATATTTGGGGCCTGTAGGTGGCACACAATCCTGAAGGTATTTTAAATAGTAATGAACCATAACTATCATCATAAGCACTACATCTCAAAGGAATGCATAACCTGTTTAACAAAGATATATAAAGTGACAGGCAGAATAGCAGGATGTACCAGCCCTCTGCTTCATACAGGGTGCTACTTTTGACAATACTAACACATCCTACTCTGTAGTACTACAGCTATACCTGTTAGCATCCTAATTATTTCTCATTTCTTGCTTGATTGTTTCTTTGAACATAACATTTTTCCTTGAAAAACAATGCAGCTATAGCGGCTGGTTCTTATAAACCTAAAGTGATTAGTTATTCGTCAAGTTAATTATGTTCATATGTGTTCACAAGGCTGGGCATGGCCATGGACCACTAGAACAAGCATCCTTCCTTTTATACAACTAGCAGTTGAATTTTGCTAGTTCTCCGCTTTCACTGTGAAGCAGTACATAGTGTTTAGAGCACTGGTTCTCAACTTGTGGGTCCCCAGGTGTTTTGGCCTACAACTCCCAGAAATCCCAGCCAACTTACCAGCTGTTAGGAGTTCTGGGAATTGAAGGCCAAAACATCTGGGGACCGACAGGTTGAGAACCACTGGTTTTAGACCTTAGCTCTCACCTGGTTTATAAATGGTTGATTTCAAGCCACGTGTTTTCCATGTGCAATTTACAAGTTCTTAACGTTTCTCAGAATCAGTGTCTGAAAAATGTGAAGAAGTTGTAAATTGTATATATGCATGTATATTAATGTAGCTTGGCACTGCTTTAACTGCCATGGCTCAATGCTTTGGAATCATGGGAGTTGTAATTTTACAAGCTCTTTAGTCTTCTCTGCCAAATAGTGTGGGTAAGTCACCAAATTGCAATTCCATAACATTGAGTCATGGCAGTAAACATGATATCAAACTGCAGCAATTCTTTTATGTTAGATGCACCCTTAGTAAATGAGGTAAAAAAAGAAACCAATCCCGATCAATTAAAGCAAGTAAATTAAAACCACACCTTCAACAGCTCTGGAAGAGGGTCGCTTTCCTTTCTCTCGTTCAACACATTTGTAGATTCATTTGCCTTTGCTTCAAAACTGGGAGGAAAAGAAGAAGAAAGTCTGAGTTTACTTAGAACATTTCAAAAAGAAGAATAAGGATACAAATGCTTTATTTTATTCCTTCATTATGCTAGCACCTTTACTTAGACAGCCGCCTAATCTTGGACAAAGGACCTCCTTAAGTTTCACCATCGGAAAAACAGAATGTAGCTTAGTCCCTATAATTTCTATCAGAAGCAAGTTCTAGGACATTTCACACACAATTCTGCACATAACTGCTTTTTCCTTAATTTAATCTAAGCACTTAGTTTATTTTGACACTCTAATATGATTTTAGATGCTTTTTACAAAGCATCAGAACTCAAGAATATTTAGATGGGATTAAAATAAGGAGAAAGGGAATATTAAACACAATGGATCAGTGGCAAACCAACACAGTTCCTGCCCCCCACCTGAACTAACCCCCCCCCCCCCATTGTGTAACTCATACTTAATATCTATGCCAAAATTGTTCCTGGGACTTTGACCTAGAACACATTTGAGATTCAAGATATTGTATAATCTACACTGGCTACAATCAAGAGCTGTTGAGTGCACTTAAATCCTGAGAAAATAAATTATGATTTAACTATACAGAACTTGTGCTTAAAGTTTGGACATTGTTTTTACAAAACCTTGAGTATGTTGCCAACTCACTTGAACAGCAAGAAAGATACTGTCTTTAATCCAAGATAACTGCTTTAGAAGAAGAAACAATAGCTATCAGTTTATTCCCAAGTTATGTTTTCCATTTAAGTTAAGTTACCTTACAAAGGAGAGAACATTAAGTGCCACAACTACTGATATAAATTCATGCTTGAGACAGGTGAAGAGGCAAAATCAACTCTATGACCCAGATCTATATAAATAAAAATGTAATGTTCGTTTGTGGGATTAACATACTGTAGCTCAAAAACCACTGGACGAATTGACACCAAATTTGGACACAATACACCTATCAGGCCAACGAGTGACCATGACTCATAAAACACTGAAAAACACAGCAGAAGAAACTTAAAAAGCCAAAAAACCCCACAAAAATTACATTACAACGCATGACAAAACCATACACACACACATATATGCACACACACACACACATACACGCAAACACACCTATACAAAGACACACAAATATATACATACACACATATACAAACACAAAAAAATATATACACAGACTGGGTCACAGCAATGCGTGGTAGGGGACGGCTAGTTGTAATATAAAGTTCTATGAACAATGTATTGTTGAAGGCTTTCATGGCCGGAATCACTGGGTTGTTGTAGGTTTTTTCGGGTTTTATGGCCATGGTCTAGAGGCATTCTCTCCTGACGTTTCGCCTGCATCTATGGCAAGCATCCTCACACCTCATTACCTCTGAGGATGCTTGCCATAGATGCAGGCGAAAATGTTAGGAGAGAATGCCTCTAGACCATGGCCATATAGCCTGAAAAAACCTACAACAACCCACTTCTATGAACGATATCTACAAATAGAATGTTTTCCAGTATTTTGAAAGGAAAAAAATGAGAATATTAACTATAATTTATATTCTTAGAGGATACAAAGTATTTATTTTGAAATCAGTGTAAAATCATGTGTGACAATTTGTAAATATTGTTTATTTATAAGGAATCACAAAAAATCACAGCCTAATGCCAGGGGCTGCCCAGGTTGAAAAAAGAAYAGCAAAGTGGGAGGAATGCCTTGGGGGYTTCATCAGAAATTCTGATGGTGGTCCGCGAGAAGGCCTTACTGGTGCATTATTTAAACATATGTTTATTCATATCATGATCTGATCACTATACTCAATATATCCCATATGCATGGGGGTATTGGGGTAACGATACAAAAGGTTTGTTAAGGTAGACCCTCTTTCACTCAGACTCAGCCCCCCCGAACCAAACTCAGCCCCCCCCCAAACAAAACAAAATCCTGGCTACGGGCCTGAGCTCAGGTTGGGGACAATGGGCCATGGAGAGGGATGGTTGTGGTGGAGAATTGCAAGGGAGGGGAAATGCTGAACATCAACTTACACCTATYAGTTCCCCCTTACAAATTTCCAGTGATCTGTTTTACTTCATTAACCTTCCATTCAGCTAACAGTTGTAGGTTTTTCAGGCTATATGGCCATGTTCTAGAGCAGGGGTCCTCAAACTAATGCCCGGGGGCCGGATGCGGCCCTCCAAGGTCATTTACCCGGCCCTTGCTCAGGGTCAACCTAAGTATGAAACTACTTGAAAGCACACAATAATAACAAAAAACCTATCTCATCAGCCAAAAGCAGGCCCACACTTTCCATTGAAATACTAATAAATTTATATTTGTTAAAATTGTTCTTAATTTTTATTATTGTATTGTTTTTAAAAGTTTTTGCACTATAAATAAGCTATGTGAAGTGCATAGGAATTCATTCATTTTTTTCCGAACTATAATTTGGCCCGCCAACAATTTGAGGGATTGTGACCTGGCCCTCTGTTTAAAAAGTTTGAGGACCCCTGTTCTAGAGGCAGTATCTCCTGACGTTTCGCTTGCATCTATGGCAAGCATCCTCAGATGTTGTGAGGTCGAAAAAACCTACAACAACCCAGTGATTCCAGCCATGCAAACTTTTGACGCTACTACAATTTATTGTCGAAGCCTTCCATGGCTGGAATCACTGGTTTGTTGTAGGTTTTTCAGGCTATATGGCCATGTTCTAGAAACATTCTCTCCTGACGTTTCAGCAGCATCAATGGCAGGCATCCTCAGAGGTTGTGAGATCTGTTGGAAACTAGGATATATCACAGATATATAAACCCAATTTTCCTAGTTTCCAACAGACCTCACAACCTTTTAGGATGCCTGCCACAGATGCAGGACAAATGTCAGGAGGAAATTCTTCTAGAACATGACCATATAGCCCGAAAAACCTACAACAACATGGTGCTACAATTGTAAGTATTCATTTTCTATGTCAGAGCTAAGCGGTTTTTCCAGAACCAAAGACCAAATGTCAATGGTATAATGTGAGACAAAGAACTGCAGACAGTATTTACAATATTTTGAAATAGTTTATAAGTAATGTAATTTTTAAAACCCTCTATGTCTTAGTTTATCGTGTCAAAAGCAAATTCAGAATATACTGCAAGTCACTTCTGGTGTGAGAGAATCGGCCGTCTACACAGACACTGCCCAGGGAACACCTGGATGTGTTACCATCCTGTGGGAGGATTCTCTCATGTCTTAGTGCAAAGACTCTAATTTTGAGAAAGTGGAATCAAATTAAAATATACAAACTATTAATACAAGCTTGATGGCAAATTGCCATCTCATACCCTGAAAACACTAACTTCCTCTGTAAAATATACATGCACACAATTAAACCTTCAACGGCTGTCCAAGCATTTGACCAAGAACACTTCCCTAACTTTGTTCTCTATAACAATCCCTCGGATGTGTAAAGAGAAGGCCCATCCCCTCTCTTCCTTTATTAAACTGTCACACCCACATCGTGTACACAGAGTCTGTTTGCAGTGTTAAGTTGCAATGCTTAGAACTTAAAGAGACACAAAGCACTTAAGATCAACAGCACTGTGTATTGATACTAGCAACATAAATGGGTGGCTATGGGAAAAGTAAGCTGTGAATATTTTGGGGAACTATGTTTGTAAACAGGCAATCCCAGGGTTACAAACATCTGACTTACATACAACTCATAGTTAAGAATGAGGTGAAACTACAGGAAGTGGGAAGAAATATCTACCCCTAGAAAGAGAAATTTACTCATGGGGAAAAGGTGTTTCCACTGAAGCTGTATCACCAATCCTTGTTTCCACAACAAGCCAAATTTTTCAAAATCACAGGGGCAGGAAGTGAGGTGAAATCTTTTGAAAAGGGGCACAAGCAGCAAAACAAACACCACAAGAGTTTTAACTGTTTTTAAACTTTAGAACTTATTTATTGTATGTTGTTTTATGATGGTATTTATTGTATTGTATAGCATTGAATCTTTGCTGTTAGGTAAAGAAGAACGGGATACAAAAGTTCTAAATAAATAAATATGCTTTGTAAAGTGTGTGTGTGTGTGTGTCTGTCTGTCTGTCTGTCTATCTATCTATCTATCTATCTATCTATCTATCTATCTATCTATCTATCTATCTATCTATCTATCTGGCTGGAGTTATGCCTTAAAAATGTACCTGTTCTGACTTATGTACAAATTCAGCTTAAGAAAAAGCCTGACTGTACTTCTAACCAGTGGTTTCCCAACTTATGGTTCATGGACCACCAGTAGTTCTAAACTATGTTGTTTTTGTGAATGTAGACACTAGGCATTTCTGATGCAAAGCACCAAGAACAAAATCAGTATTTGCCATGCCCTTCTTGATCAGCTTTATGTTTATTTCTTCAGTTTGAATAGAAAGAACGCAGAAATGGTTTACCTTATGACTGTAAGAGACCACTATTAAAATAATATCTACATCCATAGAAAACTTTTATTTTGCTTTTTTTGTGTAAATTAAAATAAACGTTTCATTAGTATTTAACCTTTGCTAGATTTATTGAAACAATAGTAAACCCACAAACATTATCCTGCCCAGATTTCCCATCAAACAATAAAACTCTATATTATTGCCTAATATTATTAAAAAGAAGCAATCTAATCTGCAATACATATGAACGTAAGAATATTTTATTTTTGCACAGATCAGTAGGTCAAAACTGAGCACAAGGATTATGGCAGATTACACAGATTTCTCTTATAGCATCTGTCATGCATAGCAATTTATATTAATAGAAACTATGTATTGAACAAATAGGTCAAATGAAATTTCCAACATGCTTTTAAAATTAAAAGTATTCCTATTGCAACAACATATTCGGAACGATTTATCTTTGGCGAGAAATAAACAATTAAATCACAAAGAAAGAGAAGAGACAATTCCTAGGTACTATGTATATTCTAAAATAAAATATAGAATCATAGAGTTGGAAGAGACCTCGAGGACTATCC